CCCCCTGCACCGCCAAAAGAGGCTGGGTAAATATTTGTGGAATGAATGAATGAACACCACACACATGCACTCTGGCTGTTTTCTATCTGGCTCTGTAGGTATAAGATAAAAGGATATCCAACACAGCACTTTTTCTCTCCTCTCAAGATCCCAGAATTCCCCAGGCCAGACAGAACACTGAGACCTCTAGGAAGGGCATAGAAAATGAAGAACAGAGGCTAAGAGGCAGAGAGGGGAACCCAGGGGAGAGGTAAGGCATGGGGTCTTCATTGTTATTGCCCCTCTGGGGACTCTTTCCAGTGGCTCCCAGTGTGATGAGTCATGGGAAGTGAAAACAGGGCTGTAGATGTGGAGTGGTGTGAGATGGCACTGCTGGTGAGTCATTCTCCGGCCACCTGGGCTCTCTTCCTCTTCCCTGGCCCCCAAGTGGCCAGAGGAAACAGAAGAAAAGTCTCTTCCCTGCACCTGTCTCCCTGAACCCATTATCCCATTATCAGAGTGAGTCAGGAGAGCAGGTTGGGGCACCGCTTGCACCTGTGAAAGACTAGAGAAAGGGAAGCTGAGCAAGGGCCTCCAGGCCAGGGTGGGGAGGGTGGGGCAGGCAGTGGGTTGAAGGCGCGAGGTTTGGGTCCCCAAGGCAAAGATTCCATATGCAGTTAAATTAGCTGATGGGCTGGGCTCTTTGGGAGGCACTGCAGGGCATGATGTGGGGTTGGGTGGATCTTAACTAGGAAAACCAAAAGAGACGGACACTCAAGTGGGAGAGGGGATATAGGTATAGGCAGCAGACAGCCCCCAACCAAGGAAGGGGGTAACCACCTACTAGAAGAACAGGTATGCAGAATCCTCCCCTTCTCCAGGAAGAACACCTAAGACCCCAGAAAGACAGGCTCAGGATCCAACACAAAAGGACAGACCCAAAGCCCCCTCCTAGAGACTCAGGACACACACAGGGAAATCTGAGGTCCCTTCTAGAAAGGCGGAGCCAGAAAACCCAAAGGAGACACAGTGACTACACCCCTCTTTTGCCTCCCCTTGTCTCTGCCCCAGCTCTCAGTTCCCAGGACTTAGTTCCCAACAAGCTAGAAAGAGGAAAATCCAGTTAGGGCCTGTTTACACCAGGTGGTCTAGCAACCCCCGAAACAATGCTTCATTTTGACAGGAAGACCCATTTGAGTGTGCCCCACCTCCTCCTCAACACACACCCACACCCTACAGGACTTGAGACTTCCCGCAAACCAAAGGGAGGGCACGGCACGGCGCGGCACGGGCCCCAAGCCAAACCAAAGAGAGAAAACGGAAGGAGAAAGGAGAGGCTGGTCAGACAGGTATGGCAGCCCTGGGGAGGGACAACCAGCTCTCACTTTCTTCCCCTCCCCCTACGCTATTACTGGTGGGACCTGGATGGGGACTGATTTAGATGGTATGTGCTGATCAAGGTACTGATTTAGGTAGCCTAAGGTCTACAAACTAGCCACCCAGCACCCTTTCTGAAATCTCAGCCCCCTCCACCCCAGCTGCCTGGTTCCTTGGTCCTAAGATTATCTCATAAGGTGGAGACAAAGGGCAAAATCGGCAAAGTCCCTATGTTGTGCAAACAGCAACACCAGTGCATAGCTCTTCCAGAGGGTGCCTCTCACCCCAAGGCCAGAAACATTTGTATTTCATTTGTTTATGCCCTGTTATTGCCCAGAGACCCCAACCAACCCTTCCCCACATGCCCAGTGCTCAGCCTCAGTGCAGGAAAGACTAGGACTTCCGGGGTAGAAACAGAAGGGGAAGGCCTCAGGGACTAGGGCCAAGAGGTGAGGGAAGAAGGAACCAGCCTAGGGCAGCTACCTATACAACTCCTTGTAAGGCTATCTCTGACCAGTGCAGTCACAACGGCCCATTCAACAAAACCAACATGTTTGTGGTAAGATGATTGTGCCCTACGCAAACAGCTCTGCCCCTGTCTGCCTTTCCTGGAGAGCCAAGGGGGGAGGAGTAGACATTCTCTCCCTGTTAAGACTTGGCCTACTGGTACCACTGTATGTGCACCCACACACACACACAAATAAACAAACAAATATAATTTTAAAATTTAAATTTAAAAAGAAAGAAAAGATTGAGAGCTATGAATAGAGTTCAGTTGGTAGAGTGCGTGCCTAGCATGCATGAAGTCCTGGGTTGGATCTCCAGCACCACATAAACTGGGTGTGGTGGAACATGTCTGTAATTCCAGTAATCAGAAGTTCAAGGTCATCCCCAGCTATCCAGTGAGTGCCAGGCAGACAGAGAGAGACAGAAAAAGAGAGAAACTGTGGGAGCATAAGGGAGCTCTTTATAAGAAGCAGGGACTTCATAGGCCAGCCCTGGAGCCAAGCAGCAGGAGGAAAGGTAAAGGCTATCCCTACCCCTGGGGTGAGGGCCAAGTCCCTAGTTTACCAATGGAGCAATTTTAAATATTAATGCTAGCATACAAATAGCTGAGGGTACACTGAGGCAGCTGAACAATTAGTTTAAATAGGAAACCACAGATGGTGTGTACACCCATCAGTAAGCCATAGCAGGGGTTATTAAAGTTGATTGCTGGTTTTGTGCTGTGTGCCTCAAGGCCAAAATTGTTCACAGTCCATACTTTAAAAATGAAGATGCATGTTGGGCAAATGTTCCACCACTGAGCTACATCCACTGACTTCTTTTTATTCTTTCAAATTTTGAGACAGTATCTCACTAAGTTTCTTATGCTGGTCTTTCTAGAACTCACTTTGCAGCCCAGGCTGGTCTTGCACTTGCCATCTTCCTGCCCTAGCCTCTCAGGTGGATGAGGCTTGTACCCCCCACGTCTGATTTCATGTTAAGTCATGGCTCTAATGATAAAGCCAGCCAGGATGCTGGATGAATGGACTATCTAGAAAGGCAGAAGGCTTCCAAGTCTAAAAGTGTTCAAACTAAGGCTTCCTTTCTACCTGTCTGTCAAGTGGAACATTCCTCCATCAGAGAAGCTTTGAACCAGAGTTTCCAAATCATCCCAACTGCAAGTCGTGGTGGCTTACACCTATAATCTCAGTACCTGGGAAGCTGAGGCAGGAGGATTCCCATTTGAGGCCAACCTGGGCTACATAGTGAAACTCTATTTGAAAATTTTTCCAACTCTAAACACCTGTGATCTGTGTATATCTCACTACTGGAGAGCTTTGCACATGGGATATTAGACATCTATAAACATTCTCTGAATTAAAATTTAGGTTTTGAAAAGAGATAAAATTTGAAATTCTTAGAACAGGCTGGGGATATAACCGAGTGCTGACCTTACATGCATTAAGTCCTAGGTTCAATTCAATTCCCAGTAGGA